AATCTTATTCACAGTACAGCTGACAACTGCGCAACCTTCAGTTCTAAATATCCAGCGAATTATTTTAAAGGAAGCACCAAGAAACCCGTATTTCTTATTAGGACTTTCTGAAGATTTTTTGCGGCCAGACTATCTCAACCTTGAGTTCGTTCCGTTCGCAATATTGCGCTATAGAACGTAGACAACTGCGCAGTTTCCAGAAATCATGAATTTAAGGGAAAAATTTGAAGGAAACATGCGAAAATGACTTTTCTCTTGAAGTCATTTTTTATTTAAAATTAGGAGGAATGATTCTACTTTCAGTCTCATTTTCAGCGCTTAACTTTATAATCTGAAAACAGTACCATGCATCTCACGTGACCACTCTCGTAATTCCATAAATCTTTTTGTTCTTCTCCGCGTTTTCTCCGTTTTCCCCCCTTGGTTGGTCCCAAGAGAAGAATGTATGCAATTAAAGCGCAAAATTTCAAAATTCAAATGATTGCTCAAGGATGTAAGAGCGTCAAACAGTTGAAACACGTTGAATCATGTCAATATTGTTCCCAATTTCACTTTTATGTAAAAGGGCGGCTCTAGTTCCACAATTTTTTGGAAGTATATGCACGAAAGGGAACGAAGATGAAGAAAGTGATTGGAGAATGTTTGAAGGAAGTGTTGGTTCATTTTTGAATATGTTTTCTTGACTAGAAAAAGCTTCCTAATGATTGCTTTTTGAATCAAGAAAATTTCCTTATTTCCTTTTCAGCTACCATAGCATATCAAAAACTACCATCACTTTTTGCAAAGGCCCTTAGTTAAAATCACTATCACTTTTGTTCTCTCATCTCTGAGTATCGAACCCATCCGTTGTCCATCTTGTCGTCGTATGAAATCCTATCACTTCGTCTGGCTATCCTTCTCCGTCCTCTGCATCAGAAAAACCACTATCATCAGCTCTATTCTTCAACATCAGCAGCTAATGACTCGAAACGTGATGCTTTTTATGAAGATTTGGAGGAAGTCATCCGCAAAAAGAATTCCTTCTACAAACTTGTCGAGGGTTCTCACCAACCGAAGGTGGTGCTTACTGGACATCTCAGTGGTACCATCCTTGAGCAGTGGTTTAGATCACCGTTTCCTTCGACCAAACGTGCAATTAAGCCCACCTGAAAAAGAAGTTTTGTCACCGTGTTAGAGGAAGGAGGGAATTCGTATATAACGGCTTCAGATTGGCTCCTGACCACTTCTGACTGCTCCTCGAAGCGTACCCAATGAAGGACTACGACCTGTTTCTCAGAAGACAAGGCCTCAATGTCTCGAACAAGGAACTTGGAGCAAACTTCGAAAACCAAGGAGCTAGAGTGAAGGAGAACATTATGAACGGATTCGACTGCATCACGTCTCGAGCGACTGGTAGCCAGTACCAGTTGCAGAAGCTTTGCAAGAAGATCTTCTAGAGTACAGGCAATCGAAACTTTTGGAAGCAGCCCAAGGAAGGAGAAGTCTAAAGAAGTACCGCATAAGCCTTTTCGACTATCGTGTTCCGCTGACAACATTACTAAACGAAGACGGGACCGCACGTCTCACGAGAAGATGGAATCGATCATCAAGCGATTCTACACCGACCTCTTCCGCCCGTCAACACCCGAGCCACTCCCG